ATACCAAATATTGGCAAATGGATAAACTCAAGTCAAGATTGGCCATGAGAACATATTTGGCTTATTTGTATGCAAACTGCATGCATATTCAATCGAAGCGTGTGAAAACAAACAGAGTCGCTCGCATATCAATTGTTAATATGTCAACTGCACAGGGCGCCACAAGAGCTCATTGCACATGGCCGAAAATAACCCAAAGCCAGAAATTGAATTGTTTAATCATGGCACACTCAGTTCGCCAGTTTGCACCTGAATAATGCAAGTGATATGCTGGGCCTGCGGGGTCGGTGCGGGGCCCAAGACGTCAGTCGGCGCCGAGTTAATTCCCATAACGGCTATGCAATCCACACAATGCTAGCATGCATCGAGTTGTGTATCTATGTGAATATTAGCTGACCGCACTCTGCATACAAGCAATAAAGCAAAGCGCCCCTTGGCCCAGGCATACATGCATAATTCCAGTTGCCACAATTGCACGCGTCAACACAGTGTGCAACAATTTGAGTAGAGTCAATGGATACTTGAGATCCATAACAGACACTTGAACAACTGTAAACTGTAGCCCGACAGCCTTTGCTGGCAATGCGAGAGGCCCCGAGGAGTGGGCAGGGCGGTTCACCTGCGTTGGCAAACAGCGAGAAATAGTATCTGGTATTTGCATCGGCACGCGTCTCTCTCTAAACTGAAATGCCAATTCAATTGAAATGCACACACAAGGATATTTTACAGAAATGAAATGTGCATATTGACCAGGCCTGTGTGGAACGCAGCAGACGTGCGGGACAGTGGGACAGTAAGACAGTGGGACAGTAAGACAGTGGGCCAGTGGGTATCTGAGACAGGGCCATGGGTCAAAGGATACGCAAAGGACTCACCAATGATATGCCCAGCCAGCGGTTGCTCGTATTCAATATGGTAAACGCAATCGTGTTCGCCTCGAGTCGCTTGAACAGGATCTCCGTGAAACGTGCCTGCTGATTGTATGCACGTATTGTGGTCACACCCTGAATCGTCTCCGCCAGATGCGAGATGACCGGCGAGCTGCTTGAGTTCTCGATGCGCTGCAGCTCACTTGAATGGATAATTTAATTAGTTACATTTAATATAGGTATTTAATATCCATTTACTCCCTAAACCATAGACTAACTTAAATTTAATTTATAAAGCTGATTTTAATCATAAATAAAATTTAGTGTATTCTATAAATAATAATTATATAATACATTATAATTATAAAATTATATAATATATTTCATTTGAATTTTAAATTTAATTTTTTGTAATTGGTAATAATAAAATAAATTGTAATAATAGATTTTAACTTTGTTTCATTTAAATTCTATATTTATATTGCATTTATAAAATATATAAAATTGAATGAATATAATGAATTCAGACTTGAATTATGGAAATATTTTTACTTAATTTTATCATAAAAAAATTTCAGGTTTGCTTAATTTTTTAAGTATAATGTATTAATTATGAATATGGCAAATTAATAATATTGATAAATAATAAATAATGTGCTTTATAAAAACCCTATAATTATAAATATAATATATAATTCAATATATAATTTATTATTTATATATATATAATTTATTATTTATTAATTTTTTTTATTAATTTAATTTCTAATTAATATTAACTAATACTTAATGTTTCTTAAAAAGTATTTTCAATAAATAAATTTAAATAAATGTTTGTTAAACTTAAATTTAGTTAAACAAATGTTTATCAAATATAATAATATATAATATAATAAAATATAATAATATTTATAATATAATATAATAATATATAATAATTCAGCTATGCTAAGTCAATCCATTAAATCCATTTAAGCCAACATGTTTCAATTTATTTAATTTTAAAATAATAACACAAAGAAATGCCAAATTCGCCCTGATGTCAACTCAGCTCAGAGTTTATGGAAAAATAAAAGGTAAAACGCAAATGAATTGCTTCAATTGCAAAAGTCTTTAAAATATATTTAATTTAAATTTGTTTTATTTCTTTTTGTTTTGAATACTTCATACTGCTGAAGCCCAACCAACTAATGGACCACAGCAATTGTGCCCCGCCCCCGAGTCGGTTGTGGGCACTGTAAACTTTGTCTGCACAAAATTCGCTCGAAAGACAATTAGAAGCCACAAATGCTTGAATAGAAAGCTGCTAATAGAGCCACTCGCACTATCTAAACAAAAACAAAGATATCCCAGCCAGAGCCAAGGAGCAGCACAGATTGCGAAGTGTTATAGATACAGTGCCGAATACTTGATACTCTTTGATGAGATTTGATAATATCTTATATCCATTCACAAAACTGAAACAGGTATATTGTTTTTTTTATTTAATATCCGCCTTTCTGCGCGTCTATAATCAGCATCAGCTCGCTATATGGTCAAAGCAAGCTTCAGAATATTACAAACTATATGAGAATATCCAACTACCCGCAAAAAGAGTGTGCATAAGAACAGGCTGTCAAACAGTTGAGGCAAAAGTATTAAATGCAAAAATCTTTTGTCCTTCTGTGTTGACAATATGTAGTTGTCTATTCGAGTTGAAATGCCTAGGGCCAAATACTTTGGCCAGCAAAATGCTGATAAAGTTTTCAAAACAATTCAACCAATCCAGAGAGATGTGAGAGAGACCAACAAAAATATTAAAAGTTGGCAAACTGTTGAGCAACATGACCAAATAGAGGCGTGGCACTTGCATATTTATTACAGTTAACACAAGAATTATGAAAGTCGCTTTGTCAGCATCACAAAAGGAATGTCTATGTGCTTGTGAGTGTGTGTGTGTGCGTGTGTGTGTGATAGAGCAACATAAGCAAAACGAAGTCGCATTTATACAGAAATACATTTCACTTACCGTGCCGAGCACCTGTAGAACTTCTGAATGGCATAGTAGGCCCCACAAATGGGCAGAGTGAGGGCAAGAAACCAGGGCGTAATGCTCACATTTATGAGTATCGCACAGAGGCAGAGCAGGCTGAACTGCAGCAGGCGTTGACAGGTTGCAGCGATTTTCTGTAAATGAAAAAATATACGTTCATACATACATATACATATGTATATAGAAGCATATGTTAACAGACATGGTCAAAATAATAGGTAGACTTATTCATAGGCATATTCATTAAATACCATAAGGCATTATTTAACATTTTAATTTGAAACAAATTTGTCTGAATTTTTTAATCTGGCCAGTTGAATTTTCTTTTTATTTTCTATAATATTATTTTCTTATAGAGAAGGCGTTACTTGGAAGTAATATGCTAAAGTCTTTTAACAGTGATATTGCTCCATTCTGACTTCCTGACCTAATTTTAACAGTGCAAGCTGAGCGCTTTGCTTGAGTGATTTCGCATTTGAGCTGCACGCTTCTCATTGCTTGCATGTATTCTGCGAGAGAGAAAGAGACCAACAGCTGTTGCTAAACGCAGTATGAAGCTCTGCTGAACGAGATAGCTACATTGTCACTTCGGGAAGCGTCGTTATTATTTGCAGTGAACCACTGTTAAAAGACACCATCAGTCAATCGTGAGAGCAAACGACTGTAAATGGGTAATCTCACGCTGCAGTAATCGTGTCTTTTAACAGTGGGGCAGTCTGCAAAATAACAGGCAACAAACTAAAGATTCTGTAAAAGCGCACACGAAAAGCTAAAGCTGAAAACGATTCAATTGGCACAAAACTGAAACATAAATATATATACATACATATATAAATCAACAGCTAAGCGTCTATACATGTATTGCATATAAGTAAATAATACAAAGTAAATCTTAAATAATATTATCGTTTTATCATCTAATTTTCACTACTGCAAAATATTTTAGTACATACGGCCTGTACTTATTTTGGTGACCTCAACTGTTTGTATGGCTCCGCAGCTGGGTGAAAAGCACTGTGTGGCATGCAACATGGCAGCAGTGGGGACAGCA